TTCAAACCCACCAGCCACTCCTCAGAAGGAAGGTTGGGCAATCCTACTTCCGTAGTGATACTGCCTTGGAAACCCAAGGAGGGGTCGCTATGAGTAGGGGCCGACTCAACGGCACATAACAACCACCACCACCGTGTCCCGCCCACGGGGTTCCGCTCCCTAACTCCACCTCTAGGTCTCGCCTCTCTGCCATTTGAGACTCCACCCCCGGCCCCGCCCCCTCAGCTACAAGAGGCTCAACTTCTGCTTCCCGCCCCTCTCCTCCTATAGACTCCACCACCTTGGGGTCTCACCCATCTCAGCTACTCATGGTTTAGTCCCCTGGGTCCTGCCTCCTCAGTTTCGTGAGGCTTTACCCTTTGGGTCTCACCTCCTTAATTCCTTGGGTCTAACTCCCGGGTCCCTGTGCCCTCGGATACTCAAAGCTCCACCCCTGGGCCCCACCCACTAGGCTCCACCCCTGCGCCCCGCCCCTCAGCTTCCATAGGCTCCACCCCCTGGGTCCCGCCCACCTTAATTCCTCTAGGCCCGCGGAGACTTTCTCCAACTCCTGTTCTCTCGCAAGGGGGCGCTCCCTTGCTCGGGGCATTATTCCCCAGCCGCAGGAGGTCACGCTGCGAGGCCGCTGGGGTTCATCCGGGTTCCCTGGGGGAGCCGAGCAGCCCGGGGGCACAGCGGCGTTTCCCAGGCCTTGCCGGGAGAGGCCTGCCTCCAGCTTCTGCTCCAAATCCTGCAACTCGGCCTCCTGCCTCCACGGTGTCTCATCTTGCAGTTGCTGCTGGAGATATCGAAGCTTCTCCTGGGCGGGGGTGGAGGGCGGGGTCACGGCGTCCAGCCCCCTGCCTGCTGCCACCACCTCTACCCCCAGACTTGGCCAATGAATCCCCAAGATTGGCGAGTAAATGTTGGGAGGTCCCTCTTTTAGTCAGAATGGGTTCCTTCTAGCTGTCGTTAGGGAGGGGACGTCCTATTTGAAGTCTAACTGGAGTCCAAATGGCTTTAACCCTAGAATGTCTGTCTGCCTTCATGTCTCCAACCAGCCCTCCGTTCTAACTCCAATCCTTCAAGGTGACAAAGTCCAGTCCCACTTGCTTAGGAAAAAACCACCAAGGCTGCTGTCAGACAATGAGTGGACGCGTGGGCAGGACTGATATTCCCACTAGAAACACAGTGCCCTCCTCTCTGGAAACAGACTGGGACAGTTCTCCGTCTGTGAGTTCAAGTTCCACCGGAAGCCTGACTTGAATCCTTCATAATAGAATGTAAACCTGACTGTAAACACGCCGGCGCCATGTAGTGGTGGTGGCAGGGCAGGAAGTCCCATTGGTGTCTACCTTAAGTCCCTCATGCCTCCAACCCCCTCTCCCAAAACCTAGGACACCCCCCCTTACCTCCAGCAGGGCAGAATTCTGCTTCAGGACATTGGTTTTGATTTCCGCATCTTCCACTGACCGGGTCACCTTCCGGCAGTTCTCCTGAGTCAGGACACCAGGGTGGGGGCCCTGCCTTCCCATTTCCAGTTCTGCCTGCTGCCCGCTAGCTGCGCTATTTCCATACAGGCTCCACCCCCGGAAACACAAGACACGCCCACTTCTTCCTTAACTTCCGTCTTTCTCTCTGCCAGCCGCTTCCCTTGGCTAACAGGGTGCTTTCTCCTTAGCCAGCACTGACTGCTAGCGTTCCGTTTGTTCCCATGGCTCTCAGATCCACTCAGCCTCCTCCTCCCCACGCCCCTCCGCGCTCCCCCTGCTACCACTCCGTTCCCCCACTCCTGCCCCTGAGTGGCCCACCTTGAGTTGATTACAGTAACCCTCCAGTTCTTCTGCCTCTTGACGTCTTCTCTCCAGATTCTCACTAAGCACCGAGCACTCGCTCTGAGTGGAGGGAAAGAGGGGTTAACCCGGACCACAAGGGGGCGGTGTTTCGTGGGGAGGTGGAGCTGCGTAACTCCATTTCCCTAACGGGGTTATGGATGCATTGCGTTGGAGGCGACCTCTAAGAGGAAGAAGAGGTAGTGGGGGTGGGAGGGCGTCGTCACACCTGCAGTGATTGCACGTCCTGGTTAACGCGGGTGGTCTTCTCCTTCAAGCTGGTGATGGAGTCCTTGGCGCGGACCAATCCACTGTTGACCCCGTTCTGGGGAGGAAGGGGAGACAGGTGGATCAGTAGGTGTGAGGGGGCAAGCCCCAACCGTGAGGAAAACTCTAGAACTGAGAGGGGAGGTTTGCGTCTTGAGTGGCTCGCAGTGTGATTTATGGCAAGGGGCATGCCTCCTTGGTTCTTGGTGGTGTTCCTACTCCATGAAATCGGGGGGTGGCCTCAACTTCTGTGTGGTGGGCGCTGAGATAAATGAGGATGTGGGAGGCAGGTAAAGAGCCCTGGTGGTGCAACAGTTAAGCACTCGGATGCTAACTGAAGGGTGGACGGTTCAAACTTACTCAGCAGCTGTGAGGGAGAAAGAGCTGGACATGTGTTTCCATAAAGACTAACCAAACTCACGGCCATCAAATTGATTCTGACTCAGAGCGACCCTCACTGGGTTTTCAAAGTGGCGGTAAATCTTTGTGTGTGTGTGTGTGTGTGTGTGATTTGGGTGAAAATTTGCAGAGCAAATTCACTTTCCATACAACAACTCACATACACTTTGTCTCATGACATTGACCACAATTTCCCACAGTGCAACAGCTCTCCTCCCACTTCCTCCCGATAGTTACCTCTTCCCTGTGTCCGTGCCTCCATGCACTCCTGCCCCCTGAGCTGTCTCCCTGTGCACACAGAGCCCTTCTATCTCCCATGATTGTTTTCTCCAAGGAGTGTATCTACCTCAGGTAAGTGTCAACTCATATGCCTGTCTTTTGCTTGGCTGGAAGCCACAGGTGTGGGTTCAATTCCAGACCTGAAGGACAGCTAGGGGCCATAGGCTCAGTGGTTCCACCAGGCTCTATTGGACCAGCAAACCTGGTCCCCCTCCTTTTTTTTCCCAAATGATTTTCAGTTTTGTTCCACATTGCTCTCCCTCTCTATCCAGGATCTCCTACATAGATCCCCCTCCCAGTGGTTGACAGTGGTAGCCAGGCACCATCTAGTTCTGGTCTCATAGTTGTATAGGCTGCAGATCAGATGGTGTACCAGTCGCTAGGACTAATTGTTTTCATGAATTTGGGGTTTTCTTCATTCTTCATTGCTCTGGATGAGGAGAGACCCATTGTTGCATCTAGATGGCTGCTTGCAAGCTTTAAAGATCCCAGTCACTACTCGCCAAAGTAGGAGGTGGAACAATATTTTGTGTAGTATGTTATGCCAATTGAGCTTGATGTCCCCAGGGCAGTAAATCTTTACAGAAGTAGATTGCCCCATTTTTGCTCTGTGGAGGGGCTGGTGGGTTTGAACCACCAACCTGCTGGATAGCAGGCAAATACCTTAGGCACTGCACCACCAAGCTCTCTTCTGAAAAGACTACAGCCTAGAAAACCATATGGGGCAGTTCCACTCTATAACATATGGCGTCACTATGAGGTGAAAGCAAGTTGATGGCACCTAACAACAATGGGAGGAAGTTCAGGCAGTTAAGGGATGAAGGGGGGTCTCAGCCAAAAACTAAGAGAAATACCTTTTGGGGTCCACAGACATATATAACATCAACTCTTAAAACACATGTCCTTTCCTTTCTTGCCATAAAGAGACACACACA